TGTGTGTGTGTGTGTGTGTGTGTGTGTGTGTGTGTGTATTATTAACTCCACAGCACATGACATGACGTCAGGAACACAGGGTTATATTTAGTTTGACCTCAGAAGGTCTGAGTGGCTCAGCTGTGGTTCTGGATCTGATCCAAACATTCATTCAGACACAGAGACCTGGTCCTCCATGATAAAACCACATGACTGAGACCTGGTCCTCCTGGTCCTCCATGATAAAACCACATGACTGAGACCTGGTCCTCCTGGTCTTCCATGATAAAACCACATGACTGAGACCTGGTCCTCCTGGTCCTCCATGATAAAACCACATGACTGAGACCTGGTCCTCCTGGTCCTCCATGATCAAACCACATGACTGAGACCTGGTCCTCCTGGTCCTCCATGATAAAACCACATGACTGAGACCTGGTCCTCCTGGTCCTCCATGATAAAACCTGGTGGTGAGCTGGTGGACCTGCTTCAGTCCAGAAAGCAGCTGAAGGTTTCGGTCAGTTTGCTCTGTGAAGGCAGGTCACAGCTGATTGGATGATCCAGCTGTCAGTCAACACGTGTTCATTTGAGCAGACTGTGTAAAATCAGAAGTAGAAAAAGAAGTGTATTTCAGGTCTAACCTGGGTCCTGGTTTGGGTTTCAGGTCCAGGTCTGGCCTTCATTGCGTACCCGAAGGCGGTCAGTCTGATGCCGGTGGCTCCGCTCTGGGCAGCGCTCTTCTTCTTCATGCTGCTGCTCCTCGGACTGGACAGTCAGGTGACCACAGCTTTACAGTGTCTGAGTACAAGTACTCGTGTACAAGTACTTGTGTACAAGTACTTGTGTACTACTCAGAGGTATTTGTGTAAAACTCCAAACATCTTAGAACATAAAGTCACAGATCGTTACAACCTGAACTCATCATCATGTGGTGATGAAGATGAGGATGATGATGATGCTGTGACTCTGATGATGTCATCGTGTCCCTGCAGTTTGTTGGGGTGGAGGGCTTTGTGACCGGGATCCTGGACCTGTTTCCTGGGAAATACTACCATCGTTACAAACGTGAGATAGCCGTGGCGATCTGCTGTTTGCTGTGCTTCATCATCGACCTGTCCATGGTGACACAGGTGAGCTGCAGAGCTTCAACCRGCCCACAGGTGAGTGAGACGCAGCAGCAAAGACCGGACTGAGGGTCTCCTGTCTCTGCAGGGAGGGATGTACGTCTTCCAGCTGTTTGACTACTACTCTGCCAGCGGCATGACGCTGCTCTGGCAGGCCTTCTGGGAGTGCATCGTGGTCGCCTGGGTCTACGGTGAGTCCAAGTCTGGGACATCAGAGAGGACTACTGTGACCTGTAGATCAGCTGACTGAGTGTTTTATTAATGCTGTCGTCTGATTGGATCAGAACCAAACAGGATAGATTCTTCTTCTCCAACAGCTTCCTGTTACAACAAAGAAAACAAAGTTTGTTGAAAATATTCAACATTTTCTTGAAAGATTTTGTCCCTAAACTAATGTGTAGCTTCAGGTTCAGGACTGTTCTAAAGTCCAGGATCAATTCTTTATGTTTTACTTTGAAAATCCTGATTTCCTGTCAGCTGAAACACGACCTATGGTGGATTTTACCCTTTTTTTAAAAGATGATTTTCAGCTACCCTTTATCTGATCTTTAGTTCTTCAGTTCTTTAGTTCTTCAGTTCTTCAGTTCTTCAGTTCTTTAGCTCTTCAGTTCTTCATTTCTTCAGTTCTTCAGTTCTTCAGTTCTTTAGCTCTTCAGTTCTGTAGTTCTTTAGTTCTTTAGTTCTGTAGTTCTTTAGCTCTTCAGCTCTTTAGTTCTTCAGTTCTTTAGCTCTTCAGTTCTTCAGTTCTTTAGCTCTTCAGTTCTTTAGTTCTTTAGCTCTTCAGTTCTTCAGTTCTTTAGTTCTTTAGCTCTTCAGTTCTTTAGCTCTTCAGTTCTTCAGTTCTTTAGTTCTTTAGCTCTTCAGTTCTTTAGCTCTTCAGTTCTTCAGTTCTTTAGTTCTTTAGCTCTTCAGTTCTTTAGCTCTTCAGTTCTTCAGTTCTTTAGTTCTTTAGCTCTTCAGTTCTTTAGCTCTTCAGTTCTTCAGTTCTTTAGTTCTTTAGCTCTTCAGTTCTTTAGCTCTTCAGTTCTTCAGTTCTTTAGTTCTTCAGTTCTTCAATTCTTTAGTTCTTTAGCTCTTCAGTTCTTTAGTTCTTTAGCTCTTCAGTTCTTTAGTTCTTCATTTCTTCAGTTCTTTATTTCTTTAGTTCTTCAGTTCTTCAGTTCTGTATTTCTTTAGCTCTTCAGTTCTTTAGTTCTTCAGTTCTTCAGTTCTGTATTTCTTTAGCTCTTCATTTAGTTCTTCAGTTCTTTAGTTCTTCTATTCTTTAGTTCTTCAGTTCTTCAGTTCTGTAGTTCTTTAGCTCTTCAGTTCTTTAGTTCTTCAGTTCTTCAGTTCTGTATTTCTTTAGTTCTTCAGTTCTGTATTTCTTTAGCTCTTCAGTTCTTTAGTTCTTCAGTTCTTAATTCTTTAGTTCTTCAGTTCTTCAGTTCTTTAGTTCTTCAGTTCTTCAGTTCTTTAGTTCTTTAGCTCTTCAGTTCTTTAGTTCTTCAGTTCTTCAGTTCTGTATTTCTTTAGCTCTTCAGTTCTTTAGTTCTTCAGTTCTTCAGTTCTGTATTTCTTTAGCTCTTCAGTTCTTTAGTTCTTCTATTCTTTTGTTCTTCAGTTCTGTAGTTCTTTAGCTCTTCAGTTCTTTAGTTCTTTAGTTCTTCAGTTCTTCAGTTCTTCAGTTCTGTAGTTCTTTAGTTCTTTAGCTCTTCATTTCTTTAGTTCTTTAGTTCTTCAGTTCTACAGTTCTGTAGTTTTTTAGTTCTTCAGTTCTTTAGTTCTTTACTTATTTAGCTCTTTAGTTCTTCAGTTTTTAGTTCTTCAGTTCTTCAGAGCTTCAGCTCTTAGCTCTCTGACAATCATCTTCCTGCAGCAAAACCAGTTTTCTTTCAGATCTTTGGTATTTTTCGTGGATCTGTGTGAAACTGTGGCTGCTTGGAAACAGAAATGAGGGCTGGATGTTTTTACACATTCTGGCCAGAGAACTTTAGACGGAGGAAAGACAAACATCTGATCCAGTTTCACACCTTGATGGAACCAAACTTGAGTCTTCAGTCTGAGGTGGACTGGGCCAACAAAGACCCAGAGCCCAGACTCTCACTGGGCTGATGTTTTTCCCTCAGTCTGACTGAGTGTTTGAGCTCAGCTCTGAACACTGCTCATTATTTCTGATTTAATCAGTGGAGCAGTTGTTATTTATCATCAGCTGCTTTTAGACCTGGACTTTTACAGTTGTAGCTTCAGACCTGTTCCCATCTCATAATATAACATATGATAATTATAATTATAGCATTATATTGTTCTGTAGGTGCTGACCGTTTCATGGATGACATCGCCCGTATGATTGGTTACCGGCCATTCCCCTGGATGAAGTGGTGCTGGTCCTTCATAACTCCATGTGTCTGCATAGTAAGGCTGAACTCCACTTTAAATCACAAAAACTGCTTTTTAAACCTGGTTCTAAGATGAGCTGTCCCCTCAGGGTATCTTCCTGTTCCACCTGGTCAACTACAAACCTCTGACCTACAACAACGACTATGTGTACCCATGGTGGGGCGAGGTGATCGGYTGGTGCCTAGCTCTGTCCTCCATGCTCTGCATCCCCGTCAGTGTGCTCTACAAACTCTTCAGGGCTAAAGGCACCTTCAGAGAGGTGAGCTGACACCACCACCACCCTCATATTCTGAAGTTAAACACCACCCTCATGTTCTGAAGTTAAACACCACCCTCATGTTCTGAAGTTAAACACCACCCACATGTTCTGAAATTAAACACCACCTTCACGTTCTGAAGTTAAACACCACCCTCATGTTCTGAAGTTAAACACCACCCTCACGTTCTGAAATTAAACACCACCCACATCTTCTGAAGTTAAACACCACCCTCATGTTCTGAAGTTAAACACCACCCTCATCTTCTGAAGTTAAAC